AGGTTGACAACAACACTCCCCTCCCCCCCAAAAATCAGGAACAAAATCCTCTTTTTAAAGTGCCGCCCACTGGAGACGGCTCCCTGAACACCCGGGCCGGAGGGCTGAGTGGCAGGTGGGCTGGCTTCAGCCACGTGCTAACAGCTGCTGCTCCCATGTGCTCTGGAAGGCCTCGTGTTTATAACCGTCCCTGGCTCGCGGGCCTTCCCCCTCCCCCTCCCGTTTTCTTTGCACACCATCTTAACATCCTCAAGGGCCTATGGGGCGGAGCCTACTGGAGCAGACGGCCTGCCACCTCAAATGTGGGCGGAGCCTCTGGAAACCAGCTGGAGAGGATGAGCCAGCGGGTCAAAAGAAAGAAACCCTACGCAAGACCCACTGCCTCAAGGAGTCCAAAGCTGATGGTGCGGCCACGTGAAGGGTGCGCTGTGGACACTTTGATTTGCTGTTCTAGCCCCCTCCATTTCCTCCCCAACCCAGCAGGGATGTAGCAATGCACAATAGTAACCGGGGCAACAGATTGCATCAGAACCCCCCTGCAAGATGAGGGCGAAAGGGAAGCCAGGCTGGGAACGGTAGATTTCATACTCCCAACAAAGCCTCGGTGGCAAGTTCGGTGCATTCCCGCCGGCGCTGGCCAGCTGTGGCGAACGTGGCAGATCAGACGTGCAGATGAGAGCTCCCCAGAGCAAGCGCTTACCTTGATAGTCGTAGTAATCTTGGGTGTCTACAAAAAACCCAAAGCACAGAGAAAGGTCGCAGTTAGGAACAGCAAAGACGAGCACAGCGTGCGGAAGAAGGAAGTGAACGGTCGTTGGGCTCACTGCACCGAACCTGTCCCGCCCCGTCATCCCAGGGATGGCTGCATCTCGCCTGGGATACTGCCCCCGAGGGCAATGCAATTCCAGGGGGCTGCAGTGCACAGGAAATCCACGCCGGGGTTCACCAGGCGCAGAGGTGCTGATCACTCGCGGCAATGGGAGCTATAAGCGGTCAGCATCTCTGGAGAAAAGAAACCCAAAGGCGAAAACTTTCCTCCGCGGCAGCAGGGACGACACAGTCTGAGGGAGGAGACCGGATTGGTCAAGACACCGTCCAGAGGTCGGGTGTCAGATGTTTCAAGTTGGGCTCCCCAGATCACTAGTCGTTTGGAAACTCTTGGCCATTTGTCTCTTCCGCCCGTTTCTCAGGGGGAAAGTCCAATTCCCGTTGCTGTTTTCCAGCTCAGATTATAATCCCACTGGCTCCATCGCAATAAAGTCTGAACGTCCCTGGCTATGAGGCCATGCCTACACTAGGAAATTATTTCCGATTTACTAAATTCGACTTCTGGGAACCCGATTTTTACAGATTCCAAGTTCCATGTCCTCACTACGAGGAAGAATCGAATGCAGTCCGAGGCAGACTCCGTTAATGTGACCATGCTCCCCGGACTCCGAGCCTCAGGCAACACACTGGGGAGCAGCAGGAGGCCGAGGAATTCAAATTAGTAGCACCGGAGCATCCACACGAAGGCTGTGTCTACATTGGCATCCCTTTCCGGAAAAGGGATGCTAATGAGACACTTCAGAATTGCAAATCCACAGGGGATTTAAATATCCCCCGCGGGATTTGCATTTACATGTAGATGCGATTTTCCAGAAAATAAGCCCTTGAAAGTAGGAATAAGGGATCTTCTGGAAAAGGGCATATTTTCCGGAAAATCGCGTCTACACTGGCGCTTTTCTCCGGCAAAAACCCCGAGCCGGAAAAAAGCGGCAGCCATGTAAATGCAAATGCCGCGGGGGATATTTAAATCCCCTGCGGAGTTGCAATTCCGAAGTGTCTCATTAGCATCCCTTTTCCGGAAAGGGATGCCAATGTAGACACAGCCTAACGGTATTTCGGATTTACAAGTTCGGGTCGAGCATCATTCCTCATGAAAAGCAGGCAGTGCCAGCCTGAGCCATTCTTGCACCCCGGACAGTGGGCGCATGGCGCAGGCGTGGCCCCGCCCTCGGGTGCACAGCGCATGCGTGGCCCTGCCCCCGGGCGCGTGGTGCCCCTTTCAACTGCAATCGGGTGCCCCCCATAGGTTGGCCGGCTATCTCCCCCCTTAATCCGGCCCTGAAAGCAGGAGGATAGAGTTTGAATTCCGCAGGCGGAATAACAGGTTTGGGAGTGTGGATGCACTGCTTACAAACTCGACCATGGTGGGGTTATTTCAGACTAAGGTCCTAGTGTAGACCAGGCCTGAGAGAGCAGTACTGAGGGTGTACAGCTGCCTTTGCCTGGGCTTCCAACGTACCAGCAACACCGCTGTGTTGGACAGTTAGGGTACGTCTAGACTACAGGCTTTTGTCGACAGAAGTTTTGTTGATAGATACTGTCGACAAAGAGCGTCTAGACTACATCCAGTTCTGTCGACAAAGTAAGCCACTTTGCTGATATGACAGTGTAGACGCAAAGGACAGTGTAGATTCAATGACACCTTCTGTCGACAAAACTCTATCAACAAACGGTGTTATTCCTCGTAGAATGAGGTTTACTGCCGTCGACAAAACCGCTGAGTTCACTCGACGTTATGTCGAGAGAACTCAGTGGCAGTGTAGACACAGGTATAGTTTTGTCAACAAAAGTCCACTTTTGTCGTCAAAACCCTGTAGTCAAGACACACCCATAACGGGGAGAGCAACCTACATAGACTTTTAGTGCAAATCTAAAGCTTTGCAGGGAGCAGATCCATCATTCCCAAGAATCAGCTTGGCACATCAGAACACGGGAACCCACCAAGTCCAGCCGCTCTATTGCAACAACCCTTTCCCTGAAATCTCGTGAGCTACTCTGCACAGGGGAAGCAGAAACTCGAGTTAGCCAAACTGCTCGGAATGGAAGGAATTAGCCGGGCCAGAATGCAGAAAGTGGCTTTTTGTACTTGGGAGGATCCTACATTACCCACCCTTCCCGATCACTAGGGGCCACGGGGGAACTTATCCGTTGCAAGTTTGTTGGGTGATGTAGCAGCGAGAAACATTCCGAATGGCTCCAAAGGCATCAGTATCTTGGATAGGGTTGCCAAATATTTTCATAAAAAATCCCGAACATGGCGGGGAAAAAAAATTGATTGAACAAAAAACAAAAACAAAAACGGGGGACCAAACTTGTTGAGGAAAAAAAAAAGGGTCGCTGCACCTTTAAATTCTCACGCTTCCTGCTCCCTCCACCCCCGCCAGACGTGGCAGGGGAAAATGTCCCCACCGGCCTTCCGTCCGAGAAACAGAAATACATGTCTGGTATTTTCTGGGGGGTTTTACCAGACAGAAGACACAATTAGCAGACTGTCCGGGCGAAAACCAGACACCTGGCAACCCTAATCTTGGAACACAGAACTGGAGACCGAGGAACAAGGGGGGCAAAGGTCTCGGTGAGATATGAGGAAAAACTGTTTCCCTCAGAGGGTGGGGAAGCGCTGGGATGCCTAAGGAGGCGATAACATCATTGTCCTTGGAGGTTTGCAAGGTGAGGCTTGACAAAGCCCTGGCTGGGATGAGTTAGTTGGCATTGGTCCTTCTCTGAGCGGGGGATTGGACTCGATGGCCTCCTGAGCTCTCTTCCAACCCTAATCTCTGAGTCTCTGCTTTCTACAGGGCTCGGTTTCTCCCTGGGCACCTTGTTACCAGGGAGAGAAGGACAAATCCTGCCCTGAGAAGACCCGTGGAGGTTTCTTCCAGTCCTACATTCCCATCCGTCCAAAGAGTTCAGTGAAACGCACCAGCAGTTACCAAGGCTGGTTGGGGAGAAAAGTAACAGAGAAACATCTGCAAACTGGGACCAGACTGGGGACTAGGGCAGATCTCTCCAAGCATCTGAGAGTGGGAGCCAGACGGAGGAGCGAGGAGGGAGAGGACAGGGCTGGAGAGGGACAACACGGAAAGGAATTCAGAAAGGGGACTATTAGGAAAAGCCCTTTGGGGCGGCGAGAGCTGTTGGGGCCAGGAGGGAGTGTGTGTGTGGAGGGATGGGGGGCAGAGGGGGGAAACGTGTGTGTCAAGAAGCCACCGGGCACCACTCACCGAGCTGAGGGTCGTACTGGGAATACTGCAGCTGGTCGGTATACTGGGCTCCTTCGAGATCGTACTGTCCCTGGGCCAGGAGCGCTGCTGGGAACACACACACACAGAAATCGCCGTGTTTTCAGGAGGGATCCAAGTATTTGAGCCTTTTAGGCCTGCCCCCCAGGCGCCTCCTATGCTCGCGACTTGGGGGGGGGCAGACACAGCCTAAGAATGCTGCCCCCACTGCCTATGGGATGGACACGTAAAAAGGACCCAGCATCCCAGGCACAAGCCAAAATCCAGGCAAAATCTGTGTGCTCAACCCCCCTCCCCACTGCCGCCGCCCTGCTGGCAGTGCCCCAATCCACTGGCGTGAGAAAGCGCCTGGAAATTGGTAGCTCCACGCTCCCACCAAGGGTGGCATGATCTAAACCAGACCCCTTGCAAGGCACATCTGGCTTGCACCCCCCCCCTCCGGGACACCCCACTGGGGGAAATACTGGACCCATAGCAATGGCGCCCCCTGCTGGAGGGGGAGCTCCTCTGAGCAGATGAGGGGCTGAGTGTCTACGAGTGTCTGGCCCCCAATTGCTGCTTTGATAACAGGCCCTTCGCTCCCCAGACCCGAGAGTCTGGCAGGCAGGGATCGCGGGCATGGAGAGGGCTGGCTGGACAGTGGCATGGCCACCAGCCTGCGTCTGCATGCCCCACAGCCAGTCGCCGTTCCTTGGGGCTGGGAAGGCCGGCTCAGGTCGCGATGAGAATCCAGGCCCGGCTATTCAGGCTGCCCCAGTCAGGGATTGGTCGGGCTGCCTGGAGAGCAGGAAGTCTTGGGCCCGGACTCCAGGCTGACCCAACTAGTCCCAGTGGGTCAGGAGCCAGGCGGCGCGCCTGTGAGTTACTTGTCCCGCGATGGCGCTACCGAAGCAGCCTCCATGAGCAGGAGCTGAACACAGCACAGCAGGGACCCTGCAGGCTGCCTGGGGCCTGGGCTGCTCGGGCAGTACGCTGCATCACCGGGATTTAGAGCCATGCAGATGCACCAGCTCCCGACTGCCCCCACGTGTGGATGGACAGGAATCCCTGCCCCCTGGCTAGGGGCCTATACTCAGCTCTGGCTGGATGCACTGTCCTGTCTCCGCCATCTTCCTCACTGCAGGTGGGCTCTTGAGAAGGCCTCCAATTAGCCGAGAGCATGAACATTTAGCGCCAACTGTGACCTCCGCCTCGTGGGCTGCGAATGCCGCACTAGGGTGCATGCTACCCAGAGACAGCACAACCGAGGAGCAGCGACCTGCAGAGAGCCCAGACAGTGCTAGGTCTTGAAATCAGCACGTCCGTGATCTCAAGCATATGGCCTGCAAACCGAGGGAACCCATATCCCTTTGCTTTACCCTCTCTCGGCCTTTTTGCACTGCTGGGCCGGAGCCACAGCAAGGTCTGGGGCCTGGAGCTGGCTGGTAGTTTGGTCAATATCTTCACAGAATCATAGAACACTAGAACTGGAAGGGACCTGAAGACCGTTAAGTCCAGTCCCCTGTCCTCATGGCAGGACCAAACACCGTCATTCTAGCCCCGTGGTCACCAACCAGTAGATCGCGATCTACTGGTAGATCTCAGGGGCTCCAAGAGTAGCTCTTGAGCCCTCTCTGAACTGCGCACCTGCGAGGTGCATTTACATTAGATTTCCTCATGTAATGTAGGCGGGGCTTCAAGGAAGGGGCGGGGCAGTAGATCTTCGCCTGTTCTGAGACTTAAAAAGTGATCTTGGGTGTAAAAAGGTTGGAGACCACTGTTCTAGACCGTCCCTGACAGGTTCTTAAATATTTCCAGTTCTGGAGATTCCACAACCTCCCTTGGCAATTTATGCCAGTGTTTAACCATCCTGACCAGTAGGAAGTGTTTTCTAATGTTCAACCTAAACCTCCTTTGCTACAGTTTAAGCCCATTGCTTCTTGTCCTCTCCTCAGAGGCCAAGGAGAACAATTCCCTCCCCCGCCTCCTTATGACATCTCTTAGATACCTGAAAACCACTATCGAGTTCCCGTTCGGTCTTCTCTTATCTAAACTAAACAAGCCTAATTCCTTCAGACTTGCCTCATAGCTCATGTTCTCTGGACCTTTCATCATTTTTTTTTGCTCTTCTCTGGACCCTCTCCAATTTTTCCACAGCTTTCTTGTAATGTGGTGCCCAGAACTGGACACAATACTCCAACTGAGTCCTAATCAGCGCAGAGCAGAGCAGAGGATCGACTTCTCGTGTCTGGCTCACAACACTCCCGTAAATGCCTCCCAGAATCACGTTTGCTTTTTTTCTAACAGCGTCCCTGTTGCCTTGTAAAGCACCAATTCAGGCAACGTACGAGAACAGGCCCCCACGGACAAACTCCTCATTCTTTGCCCAAACTGGCAGCTCCGTTGATGTCCTTGTGGCTAGTGCCAAGTTAAAAGCACCCTGGGCTGAGCCTCCGACAGCGTAAGTTGTGGAGCCAAGTGGCCACGTGAGGTCCTCTCCGCTGAACGTGCAGGGCATGTGGCACAGCCCCAGTCCCTAAAGGCCAAAGGGGCGGAGATGGAAACATACCCCCCAAAGTCACTGTGCTCATGGGGCGCATGCAGCCACTGCAGACAGGGGAGCAGAGGCATGGGACGGCCAGGGCTTGGCAAACCGAGCAGGAAATTGAGACCAGTCTGCCTCATCCAGGAGTCATGGACTAACAACAGCTCCGCCTCCCCTCAGAGAGGCCCGTGTCACAAGGCAGCAGAGGAGGAAGGGGAAGTGCTGGCTGAGGGCCAGAAAGAGCAGCGCAAAGGCCAGGTAAAAATCTCAAACCCACAATGAGCACCAAATCACAGCCCATACAGCTCACTGCATAGCTGGGAAACCACATTTCTCCTCAGTGCACATGTAACTGCCACTAGGCAGACTTGAACCTGGGACCTCTGCAACTTAGTATAAGCGCCTCTACAGCTTAAGCTATAAAGCCAGCAGGAGCTGTGTGCCCACTGTAGAGGCCACCACCTGGGACAGTGAACCACGTTAGGGGTATGTCTACACTTGCACCGTCTTTCTAGAGAGGGATGCAAATGAAGCCGGGATTTAAATATCCTGCACTTCATTTGCATAATTGCGTATTGGCGCTATTTTGAAATAACGGACGCTATTAAGATGCGGTTATTTCGAGAGAAAACCCTTCTCTCGAAATAACTGGTAAACCTCATTGTATGAGGAATAAGGATCATTTCGAGAGAACAGTTTTCTCTCTAAATAACCGCGTCTTAACAGTGTCCATTATTTCGAAATAGCGCCATAACGCAATTATGCAAATGAAGCGCGGGATATTTAAATCCCCGCTTCATTTGCAATTTCGAATGTCTTCATTTGCATCCCTCTCTTGAAAGAGGGTGCAAGTTTAGACATATGTCTACACTGCAGGCTTCCTGCGCAAGAACTTTTTGAGCAAGAGTTCTTGTGCAAGAGCATGTCCACGCTGCCATGTGCTTTTGCGCAAGAGCGTCCATAGCAGTGTGGCCGCTCTCTTGTGCAAGAAAGCTCTGATTGCCATTTTAGCCATAGGGGTTTCTTGCGCAAAAAACCCGTTGCCCATCCACACTGCCCTCTTGCGCAAGAGCTCTTGCGCAAAAAGGCATATTCCTCGTAGAAAGAGGAATAATTCCTGTACAAAAAGCCCTGTGTTCTGACAATCTACTGCACTTTTTCTTGTACAAGAACGCGCTTTTAGTGTGGACGCGCTGCAAGTTTTTACGCAAAAAATTCTGCAGTGTAGACATAGCCTAGATGCATGGGTTACTCATGCATGGAAATCTGGAGATCCCTAGCCCCAGAAGGGTAGCCGGCTGACCCATCCTGTCTGTAAAACCTCCTGCAGCTAGCCCTTCCTTTTCCTAACAACCGGACAATGGTCCCATATCGTTCTCTCACTGCTGGCCCACCCACAAAGTGTGTGGGGGGGGAGGGGGAAGGGGGCCTAGTGGCTGAGGATGGGGGTGAGTGCACAAGGCTGGTGGTTGGGCCGGTGGCTCCCCCTGCTGGTCCATCAGCGCAGACCCTGCTGACAGCCGGTTCTCGGCCATCAAGGTCCCCCCACCCCTGTTTCCAGCTGTTTGCTGCGGTGGCTGGTTACATTCTCTGCTGCCCACCTATCAACCCTTAACATGCTTCCCCTCCCACTGTTCTCTCCCTGCTTTGCCCCTACACACACACACACACACACACACACGCACGCATACGCACAGCTAGCCTGTTACTTCAACATTATTTCAAAACAACAGGCGGCTTATCTCGGCGTTTGTAACCCTCGTTCCGCGAGGAATAATGAAAGAGCCCTTGCAGGCTGGCTGTAGCGTGGACGCTCCACCGCGGCTATTTCGAAGTAAGCTCTTGCGGAGTATTTCTTCCAGAAAAGCTTATTCCAAAAGGAGCGTGCGGTGTAGACACAAGCGCACACCCACGGCCCGGTGCCCCGGCTCGGATCATGTGGCTCGCCAACAGACCGGCTGGCAGGCTCTGTCCTTTCCCCTCGGCCTTCCTGGGGAAAGCGCAAAGAGCCTTTGGCCCGTGGTGCTGGCCGGGGTCGCCGAGCCCTGTGTGTGCCAAAGCCCTGCACCTGGGGAAGTCTCTCCGCCCCGCAGCTAAGCTCTGAGAGGCAGGGAGGAAGCGATTTCCAGCCTGTTTAGGACCCAACTCTGCAGGCTCCACAAGGCAGAGGCTTCACACACAGCCCCGGCGTAGGGTCCTTGGCTGCTCTGTCCTCTCCTCCGCAAAATCATGGGCCAAGCCACCCTCCCTTCACCCCCCTGCAGTTGGAAGCTCCTCCCCTTCCGCATAGTGCCTGGGGAGGGGCTGTCCCCCCCCCCCCCCGAGAGGCGGGTCTGTCCCAGGGGGCCCAGCCAGGCGCGGAGGGTGGAGAGCCCTGGGTAGTGAAGGCTGGCTCAGGTCAGAGTGTCACCACCATCCCTGTGCGAGGGAGGCGGAGGGAACGTGCGAGGGAGGCGGAGGGAACGTGCGAGGGAGGCGGAGGGAACGTGCGAGGGAGGCGGAGGGAACGTGCGAGGGAGGCGGAGGGAACGTGCGAGGGAGGCGGAGGGAACGTGCGAGGGAGGCGGAGGGAACGTGCGAGGGAGGCGGAGGGAACGTGCGAGTGTCACTTCTCCCTGGGCAAACCAAGCGGTAAGGTGGTGAATCAAGACTCCAGCCGCGCCCTGTTTCTTTGCAAAGGAAGCGGGGGCTCCGTCGGGTTGGTGTTCACGTGAACGTTTGTGCCGCGTCGTTCTGATCGCAGACGAGTGACGTCACCAGCGCCGTCCCCTCCTTCGCTGCACCCAGCCTGGCCCGGCACTCAGTCTCTGCCCTGCTTCTGATCCCAACCAGGCTACGGCTCCCCTTGGCTGCCACTGATCATCCGAGTCAATTCCAGCCTGCTCTAAGTGAGCCATTTGGGGGAAATCCCCCCCGCCTGCCCCAGTCGCCGGCAGAGCTCTGCCCACGGCAGCGAGAGCCCAAGTGTTGACAGGTCTCTCCACGCCTCAGCTTACCCAGCTGTTGAATGGGGGTAACAAGGCTTCCTTCTGCTTGACCTGGTTAGATTGCTGGATCTGGAGGCATGGGCATCCCTAGTATAATGGGGCCTTGATTTCAGGATGCTCCTGTCATTTTAATGCCCCCCCACCCTCCCGCTCCTTTCCGAGGGGACACTGTTAACCCTCCCCCGCTGGAGAACACAGCCCAGCTTTACCCAGCTGTTGAATGGGGGTAACAAGGCTTCCTTCTGCTTGACCTGGTTAGATTGCTGGATCTGGAGGCATGGGCATCCCTAGTATAATGGGGCCTTGATTTCAGGATGCTCCTGTCATTTTAATGCCCCCCCACCCTCCCGCTCCTTTCCGAGGGGACACTGTTAACCCTCCCCCGCTGGAGAACACAGCCCAGCTCCGACCCAGCCGGGTCTCCGAGAGGAATGCGTTGCTCTCTGGCCGCCAGCCGCAGCCCGCGCGGCG